GGGGCGCCGGGGGACATCATCGCCGCGGGCACGGGATACATGAGGTGGGGGCGGCCGCGCCGGCCGGGCCCCTGCGGGGAGCCGCGCGCCGGGCCTGGCCGGTGACTCCCCGCGCTCTCCGCAGGGGCCACGGCACCTACGTGGAGGACGAGAAGCTCGTCGCCTCGGTGGCCGGCGTCGTGGAGAGGGTCAACAAGCTGGTGTACGTCAAGGCGCTGAAGACAAGGTGTGAGCGGGGATTCCCACGGTTCTGGCCCAAGGGCTTCCCCAATGTGTCCGGTGGATGTTCCCGACGGTGGTTTCCAGCCACGACGATTCCGTGATTCTGTGATTCTCGCCCCAGGTACAACGGCGAGGTCGGTGACATCGTCGTGGGGCGCATCACCGAGGTAACCCTGCGGGTGGATGGGGCCGCCCTTCCCGGCGAGATGCCCGTTTTTTCCTGGCGCATGATGAAGTGGGAATTGGGGCTCGTGTTGAAAGCCTGGAGAGCGCATGGCAAGGAGGCTGGACACATCCCTGCCCGCTCCGGAGCGCTCCTCGTGCTCCTGAAGGCACCTTGGCATTTGTGCCTTTGTGCTTTAGGGCAGCCGAGTGAAGAGCTTTTGTTCTTTTTTTTTTTTTTTTTCTTTTTCATGTTAAGTTTAATTTGAATTAGAGATTATGCTGGAAAGCCAAACTTTTACTTCAGATCTATTCCTTTGAGCAGGTGCATTTTTTTCTATCAATGAACTTACCTGGTGGGGAGCTGGTGAGTGCAACTCGTGCAGAATTTGTGCTGCTTCTGCAGCAGAAGCTGCGAGCTGGGCACTGAGAAGCCAGGAGGCCCTGGAGCCCTTCCCAGGGTTCACACTTATGTAGCATTGGTGTTTGCAGGCGGTTTTGTAGTGCTCTGGCATCTCTACTTAACTCTTAATGTTATTTGGACATTAGGACCAGTGATCTAAATATCAGAGCTTTGTTTTTCTCTGTTGCCAAGATTGTTTTGCATGGCATCATAAGAAGGAGATCCCCTTAGTGTGGGAATTGATTTAGGTTTCTCCATTCTGGGCCACATGTAACTTTTCTCCCATTTTCTCCGTTTTCAGAGAAGGAGATCAGCAGAAGATGAGCTTGCAATGAGGGACTATTTGCAGGAAGGGGACCTCATCAGCGTATCCTTCCACTGCTCGTGTTCAGAGAGAAGCCCCAAGGAGAATGGGGGAGACCTTAGCTAGCCCGGCTCGTACGGAGAGTCCTCTGCCTTGGGCAGTGAGCAGCCAGCTCCTGTTGGCACTGGGTGGCAGAAGGGAGCTTGTTTCCTTAAGTGGCACTGACAGGCAGAAGTGCAGTCTGTGTTTTCTGATGGGGCCGTGTCACTGCACACCCGGAGCCTGAAATATGGGAAGGTAAGTTGCTCAGAAGCACTCAGTCTTGGCCTAATTCTGCTCCAGCTGACTCGGATGGGAATGTCTGTGCTGGTGCTGAGTATTATTTAGATTTCCAAACCTGCAGCTGGTTGGAGTTTGAAGCAGATCAGAGTTCTTTCTGTGATGGGCTCCCCTTGCTGAAAGAATTGGGATGTGAGAAGGGCGAGGGGAGATCGAAGATCCCTTTGCAGAGAGCTCTCATGGGCTCTGTGTTAGCCTTCATCAGCTCCTGCTAGCTCGGTGGTCCTGCAGTAGAAGCTCAGGGCCTCCCTAAACACAGGACAAGTCAGCAGAATTTCTTTGGCTTTGTATCAGCTTAGCAGCAGGATTGGGCCTTTTGAGATCTTTTTTTTTCTTTATGGAAAAAAGCTCTGGAATAGAGCAGGATATTGTTAGAATCTGTTCTGAGAGGTAGGGAAGGATCTTAGCTCCCACACAGGAAAACAGATCAGAGTTCTCTGTGCAAAGGGAATGCCCTTGAGTTGTCCTTTGCATCACAGATATCCCTGTCCACAACTGCAGGCTGCGAGTCCTGTTTCCCTCACTAGCCCTTTGGGCAGTGAACCCTGCAGAGAAGAGAGCTTCTGGCTCAAACTTGCTAACTCCTTTCCTGCAGGCCATTGCCCTTGTAACTTGTTTCTCTCCCCAGGGCTCTATTTTAGGCTTTATACGGTTGGCATTTATCTCTGGTTTTGCGCATTGTAATAAGCCAAGGGGCCACTGGAGCGTAGGCTGCAGTTTGGGATTACCAGACCAAAGGTATTAGCATTTAAAAGATGAAAGCGAAGTGTGCTTATTGCACAAAGGGTGAAGGACAGCTATTGGATTAGAAGGGAAAGTGTTCTGCTAAATTGGGCTTCTCGCTCTTCATTTTTTCTGCAGGGATGGTTGATGTGTACTTACGATCAAGATATTATTAACATTTGTGCTAAGAATGTAGAGCATTCTTCAGCTTCAAAGGGCTACGCAGGCATTAGTTAATCTTCCCAGCACTCCCAGAGGCCGGCGGGGTTTATAGTCGCTATTTCACAGGAAAGAGGGTTAAAGCTGGCTGGTTCATAGACCAAGAATGGAGGGCATGTCAGTGCCCCAACGTATCTGTGGTGGGTCGTATCTCACGCTGGTGACTCTGGTGGTCTGCATTTCAGCTTGGCCAAGGTGTGCTTGTTCAGGTCTCCCCCTCGCTCGTGAAGCGCCAGAAGACTCATTTCCATGACTTGCCCTGTGGTGCCTCTGTGATCCTGGGCAACAACGGCTTCATCTGGATCTACCCAACACCAGAGCAGAAAGATGAAGAGGCTGGGGGCTTCACCACCAACCTGGAGGTGAGGGGACAGGGAGTGTGACCAACCCCCCCTTGATTTGCTAGTCTGACACAGTCCCAAGGGGCTTTGTTATAATAAATATATATTGTTTCACTGTGTATTCATCTCTTTTCCTCTGTTGTTCCTCAGCCTGTCCCCTTGTCTGACCGGGAGGTGATCTCACGGCTCCGGAACTGCATCGTGGCTCTGGTTACTCAGAAGTTGATGCTCTTTGACACCAGCATCCTGTATTGCTATGAAGCATCCCTTCCCCATCAGGTACAAAAGCCAGTGTTTACTTTATTCCATGCTGTGGGGAGGGGGTGGAAAAGCCACATTGGCTCCTGACAAAGTCAGTAAGTGGTATGCTGGGGCTTCCTTCCTTTTCCAAACAAGTGATCCAGTTTTAAGTGATAACATGAGCTTTTTCTCTTTTCATGACATAGATTGCACTGTAAAGGTTCAGGGATAGGCTGAATTGTTCAGCCTCTGTCAAAGTCCATGTTTTTTTCTGTGTAGAAGTTGTTCCATCTTTGCATGCAGCTCTGAGGTTTCCCTGTCTGGGTGGGATAATTGACTCTGTGTGGTCCCTGTGAAAACAGTGTTAAATTTGGGCTTCTATGAAAGTAAGATGCAATTGGAACAAATGGAAAAGCAAGTGCGTTGTACAGAGCCCAGTCTCCCCTATATATCCACATCCTGCATTGCTGGAAGGCTTCTTAAGTTTGATGTCTTCCTGATCAAGTGATTTGTTAGGTTCTGCCAGCATGTTCACTGGTAGTTCTCCTTCCCTAAACAGATAAGATTGGATTAGTGTGATCTGCTTTCAGCTGCAGTGGCAGCCTACTCAGCTAGATGAGATGTTCTTTTGAACTATACTTCCATCTAAGTCATCTTTCCCCTTCCCAAACACTCATATATGTCATTCAGCGAGAGTTAGGATATGACATAGATTTAGCTTCTCCTTTGATATCTTATGGTCTCTGTAAGATTGCCAGCCAGGAGGAAGTTAACGTTGTCTTGGAGCCTCTGCCATGATAGTCTCGTTTGCCCACAGCCCTCTGAAGGTATCTCACTTGCCACACGTTGCTGTGTGCCAAGGGCCCTTGTTCTCATGGTGAACAAAGGTGGCACTCCCTCTTTAGTCCTAATATTACTCTTCTTTCTGCTGCAGATCAAAGACATTCTCAAACCAGAGGTGATGGAGGAGATCGTGCTGGAGACTCGACAGAGGTTGCTGGATCTGGAGGGATAGGACAGAAGTGGTCATTTGAAGTCCCACTATGGCAGCTTTTGATTCCCAGTATTTTTTTCAGTATTCCAGTCCCCAGCATTCATTCCACAACTCGGAAAACACCCGAATTCCTCATTTTAATTACTAGAATATCTCCTAAGCCTGTTTTGTAAGGTTAGTACTTCAGTACACTAGCCTTTTAGTGCAGCAGCCTGAAAAAATGAATTTGTAACCTTTGTGAAGATGCAGGGGTAACTGGACATATCTAACTGTGCTAGTTGCTGTGTCTAGTGCCTCTGAATTTGGTGCAGAATGATAAGAGAGATGGGATGAATTTTGTTTTCCTCTCCACAAAGGCTTTCTCAATGGTTTTGGTTTTTCCTTACTGTTACAGAGATCTATCAGTCTGTGACTCCAGCTGAGACCTCTTTGTCTTATGAGGGGGGGATTCTAAAACTTTTAGAGTGTCCTTGTGTATCTCAAAGTTATGGGAATGGTTGTATCATGATGTGACTGCCCACATGAATCAGGTAGCTGTTTTGATGGGTGAGCGATGTCCTCTCAGTCCCTCTAGGCACTGTCTGCATCCTGCTGGCTACTTTTATATACCTGACAGAGTAAGCTCCTCCTCTGAGGGAGCTTCAGTATTGTTTTCTATTAAATATTTTACATTTCAATAAATTTTTTGAAAGAGAAATTAGCCCTTCAGGAGTGTGCATATTGGCTTGTCTTTCTGCAGAATGAATTGTGTCTAGCTCAAGAGCTGCAGTTGGCTCAAACTTTCGTGTGCCAGCACACTCAAAGTGGTTGCTGTCTTAGTGTGTCTCCTTCAACAATTGCTCTTCATTCCGTTCAAGCAGAGCTTTGCCTTCTTCTCCAGCATACGCTTCGTGAAGAGTTGTTCTTCTAAGGTAGATTGCCTGGCAGTGACTCATGCTCAGCATCACTTTGCTGCAAAATCCCATGGAGTGGTGAGTCATGTAGCTGTGTCTGGGGAAAGTGGGGAGCTCAGCAGGACCTGGCAGAGATGCCCAGGGCAATGGTTAGAGCAGGGCATGTTGAGTTAGGTGCTGGCAGTCAGTCAGTCTCTTCCCTGTACAGAATGGATGTGGTGATTTTGTCTGAATGTCCTCTCATATCTTTGATGCTGCGTTAGAATTGTTTATATTATGTGCATATTATTTGTTAGAGCTGTTTGCAGCACAGGCTGCATCTGTTAAAAAGGCCAAAAAAGCAAAAAATCGCACCTAATTGGCACTGAATCTCATTTTAACACAGGAAATTCTCATGCTTGCCCCAGGCAAAAAGAAAAATCCTTTGCTCAGTCTTGACTTGGGAACTAGAAATATCCTCTAGTTGCTTCTCATCCAGTTTTGGCTGCTCTGACTTGGCCCAGAGTAGGCACTAGGTGGCAGCTTCTGATCGTGTTTGTAATATTAATCTTTCCCTGCAGCTCTGCCCTGTTGCTGTGCCAGAAAGCCAGGGCTGGATGTTTGCCACCAGTGCTGCTGCCCAAATACTAGAGCATTATGGAGCTCAGTGGCTAAGGACAAGCAAGGACATGGGCAACCTATTCTGATATTGCACAGCTGGGACTTCTGACTGTACTGCCTCTGTAAAACGGTACTTACATTACTGAGGATGTCTCTGGAAAGCTCCGTGCATGAGCCTGGAATTGTTATTTTGAGTTCTGTAAGGATTTCCTGATAAATATTTCAACAACCACTTCCTCAAGGTGACTTGGGAAGCTCAAAGACTGAAGCTTGATGGTGATGCTTGCAGGTATTTGCCTGAGGCTGGTACTAGCATATGCACATCTGCATGGATAGGAAGAGCACAAAGAGGCTAAAAGCTTTAGCATTGTCGGTTTCTTCTAATTAAAAAGTACTTTTTTTTTCTTTTTTCCAGTCTAACTGCTAGAGTTTAGACTGTTGGTTATGACAGCATGCTGAAGGAAACGTTCTCTGCATCAAGTGTGCATCCTCAGAGCTGGAGGCTGGACAGAGCCAGGTTCTGATAAAAGGGATGCCAGGAAAGGGGTGCTGGTGCATCTACAGCTCCTGCTTTTTGCAATACCTGATACTTTTGTTCACAGTCTAAAAGCAAGGGCATTAGCAGGTACAATTTGATTGTTGGTCATTTCCCATGGAAGGAAGAGTAGGTCCTGGCACTTTTCTCCCTGGCCGCGAGGGGTCATTGCTGTTCTTTCCAAGTCCAGCCAGCACTGTGCCAAGCCCAGACCTACATCCTGAAATCAGGCTTCAGCGAAGACATCGCTGGGTGTTCTTACAAGCCCATCAGCAGAGCTTTTCGAGACAGCAAGTAATAACAGATAGGAGAGAAGAACTTGCGTGGGAAGGGAGAAGCTTTCCGAGCAGTTTCAAGGGTGTCAAGGAGAGGTGCCTGTCCAACTGCCATTTGCTCTTGATTAAATCCCTGTGGCTTTTCTCTCTCTGACAAGTGTTGAGGATCACCAGTTCTCATCCCCCGCAAAGGCAATTAGATGTGCTGCGGGGGCTCATAGTGGCCATCCAGAGAGGCTGAAGTGTCACTGTTAAGTCCTGTCCCACAGAATAGCAAATGGTTTTTGCCCAGGACCCACCAGAGCTGAGTGAGGGGTCAGGCAAGGTTGGGGGCTGGCAGAGGGGCTTGGCAAGCAAGATAGACCCTGGCCTGTCAGGTGTGTGGATGAGCCTGGGGTCCTTATTCTGTAGGCAAGCCCATAGAGGAGGGCGAGCAGACTGTATAAAGAATGCTTTTGACACAGGGAGTATTCGAGATGTAAAGGAGACTCTAGTAAAATGAAGTCCTCTTAAATTCTTGAACTGATCTTTGGGATTTTTCTAGGCAACTTCCAAGCAGGAAGGGTGAAGAGGAAGAATCTATGGTTTATGTGGCTTAAGAACAAGATCATAGCCCAAAGAGGGGAATTGGAGGGTGGGAAAATCTAATAAATGGTGGTTTTTATTTGAGGACCTGAAGTATGCACTGGGGCACTAAAACTGCTCAGACCAGCCTGATTTCCCTTGTCACCACCATGCAATGGCACAAAACCTGCTTGCAAGCTGCTGTAGCACCTGCCTGTTCTGCCTGCTCCAAGATTAGTACGAGGCATCGTTGGGCTTATGCTGTTGGTGCTGACTTCAAAGTGGAGCTAGTTCCTTAACTTGTGGCTGCTTCCTACAGAAAAGAGAGCATAAATTCACTGTCTGTAGGAATAATTTTACTTGCTTATTGCTGCCAGTGCTTGACTCATGCACTAATACGAAGAATGACAAACCCTCCCTTTATCCACAGTAATAACCACTGGGGTTTTAAACTTGTGCTAATGGATTGTCAATCCAATTACTGCTGCTTATTATGTTATTTCTGTATCATTCACATCCAATTTTGTTGTTAAAGCCAAGTGAACGTTACAAAGACGAAGCTTTAAGCAGGGCCTCGGAGATGCTAAAAACCCAGTGAGATGAAAGGCTTGGGTTCTCAAGGACTGATAATTAATATTCTAAGATTTGGTATTTGCTGAAGTGGTTGGAGCTTTCAGTTATTGTTGTGGAGGGGATGGAGGAAACATCACTGCAGCTATTGGGTGCAACAACCCCCACTTAATGGAAGGTAAACAAGAAAGCACCAAAGCTCATTTTATGAAACAGATGGGAGGTGCACATGCCACATGCAAGGCCTTGATTAAAATGGTCTGTAACAGTCTCTCTTTTCTAGCCTGGAAATGCAGCTTCTGTGCTCACACAGTCTGCTATTCTCTGCCCTCCTTAATACCTCCTGCACCTAATGGGTAACTTCAAGTTTGTTAACCAGTGAGTAATGAAGTTCATCAAAACTGGCAGCAGGGCAGAGGACAGAAAATGTATCGCCCTTCTGGAACAAATGCAGGTACCTTGCGATGATGTTGAGAGTGAGCAGCTGGCTGCCTGTCTGCACATGTGTAGCCCCAGCTTAACTACACCACTGCTTTGGGAAACGGGAAGTGTTTTGGGATGCTGCATGGAAAGAGGGGGGAACTGCTGGCTAAGAACCTGCCCCACTTGGCATCTTTGTAATTGCAGAGCATCAAAGGAACACCCAGTCTCATGTGGGGCAGGGAGAAGAGTATTCAGTCTATATCGTCCAGAACAGAAATCCTGCCTATTTTCAATTAATTTGTGTATGCTTCTGAGCATAGTGAATCTTTGGTAGTCTTCAGGAGTTCACTCTGCTTTGTTCCTGCTATGGTAGCTGATATGAGGGATTATCCAGGATGTTCCTGTAAGACCTAGAAGAAAATAACTTTCTTTTTCTTTCTTTTTCTTTTTTTTTCCAGTAAAGGATGGTTTGTATTAACTAGTTTGTCAATTCCACTTGAGCAATTTGAGAGAGATTTGTTACTAGCCAGCCGTGTTTCCTGAGTTTCCTCCTCCCAGTGGGAACACACGGTCTGTTTTGGAGTTGAGCTGGAGGTTAGATCATTTTAGTGAGAAGCTGCTCTGCATTACTGTGATTACTGAGAAACTGGAGAAATTTGGCCGAGTTCAAGATGTGGCTCTGGGTTTGCCTCGGCATAGTGTACCAGAACATCTCTCTCATGTAACACAAACAGCCTCAGTTCCTGGAACTAGAGTCACTGAGGGTGAAACGCAATGTAAATGCTCTGAGATCAGTGTCCTGGCTAAGAATTAGTGACAGCAGAGCAGGATGGTGCAGCAGAAGTGGAGATCCCTTAGGCTTGAACGAAATGCTACCTTTTGGGTGTTGTTTTGGAAGATGAGCAGTCCTATCTGCGCGGGACCTTGAGCGTGGTGTGGGAGAGACGGAGCATGTTTGAATTTGTCATAGGGGAGGAGCCGGGATAAACAAGCCAGTGCTTTGTCCAGATGGTAACCCTGAGAAGGAGGCTCCCGCAGAAACCGCATTTGTGTGCGCTCCGGGTGGCAGCAAGCAGGGACCTTTGACCAGAATATTCCAACCTTAAGCTGCTGCCTCAGCCTTCTTCCATTCCCAAGGCAAACTGGATAGAGAGACAAAATGCCTTCAGTTTCATGGTTTGGACTTAACCCAGAGGAAGGGCATAGTGCACATCTAAGGGTGCT